GTAAAGACATTTTCCAATGTCGATTTGCAGTTGTTACGTGGCACATCTTTGCCCACTTGTACACGCATCGTCTTATTAAACCAGCCTCAACCAAGCTTATAGGCTACGGCAACTCGTGCACAACTGAGCTATACACTTGCCTAAACAAGGATGCCGAACAACTTTTAAAATAAGCACAATGAAGTGGTGAACAGAAAGGAATCACATTACATAAATTTGCGTAAAATAGAAGAGATTCACCAAAAAATTGCAAGAGCCAAAAATTCAAATATGCACTTACCAAGAGCTTTGTAAATATTTCCATATCTAATAAAAATATGCTACTGGCAGATCTCCAGGCTTCTGTATTAATAATTCCCTTTTCTCAAAACGCACAATACAATTAATTATTCCTAGGATGATGTTTTCCTAAAGAGGGTATTTCCCACGCAATTGTCCTGCTTGAGACTTCCACTAGAATAAAACCGAATCGATGCTTCTTATTGCCAGGCCTGATTTTCTTGTCATAAATCTACCTGTTCGATACTGCAGTGATACGATGAAATTACCTATTCTTGCGTGATACTTCAATCATTGCGAAGAGGGGCTTTTGACGTGTTCAGAAGTAACCGGTGCTGGTGACAACGCCCATTGAGAAATAGGGCAAACGTAAAAACTCGTTGGTATGATGCGTCCTAAAGCAATGCAAATGACCTTTAAGATACTACTTTGCAGCTGGTGAGGCGACGGAAACTTTGATACAAAGGATTGTGGTACACGTTTTTGCAATGAAAAATCGTGCTGCCTATGCACGCTAACCGTGTCCACCCTTTTGTAAATTACTACTTTGCGTTTGAGATAACCCATACTATTGGTAGTTGAGGAAGTGAACAAACTCCATTGTAACTTCCAGGTTTAGCTTCGTATTTTCTAATGAGTGGTTTTGTGTGATTAAGCCGGATTAATAGATGCTATAGGATTTAGCTTGGGGTGAAGTTGTAAGTTTCACCTTTGAGCTGGGCGGAATAAAAACCAGTTAGATATTTTTTTCAGGACGAACAATGGTATCCTTCCACTTTGCATACAAATGGAAACATGACTAAAGCTTTGGCTATTCCAAAAAGATAGTATTGTTATAGCTTTAGTATTGAAGCACTCTGTTACCACCGCACGCAATTTATGGTAAGGGTAAGAGAGTGGAAAAGACACAGAAGCCGATTGACAGTTAAACCGCCTGTTAACGTGATTAATGTGTGCTATTACTAAAAACCTCATAGTTTAAAGCAAACCCTTAGCTCCACCAGCCTAATCCTATGACAAGGACCCACCCAAGAAAAAAAACATTTATCAACGCTGACACAAGCATTTTTAAATTGGTTTATTTTGCTCTTTGCAAAGAAATGGGTTGACTATTCTTGCGAGATGTACCCCACAGTGACCTTATAATACATGCGTACTACAGAACTTTTCTTGAAGAATTTCAAAAATATCCCAAGATATTCTAGTTTTTACTGTAGTAGCAAGTTCAGTACTACCAGAGTTTAGGCATAGCGCGTCTTTTGCATTAAAAGTGTGATAAGATGTAGATAGTGTAAAGGGATAGTGTTATAAAGC